TTCTCAGAATTCCGGACGTGGGATAGCTCTCCAAAAGCTTCCACGCACAAAGCGATGTCTGTCAAAGATGCCCACTCTCTCTATTCCTTTTTAACTTCGTGATCGATGAGATAATAGAAAAACACTGGAAGGTCTCCAAAACCCTGGCGTTCAAAAAGCTTGTGAAGAAAACCTTGTCGACCTGGAGTACGCAGACAACATCGTTCTCATCTTCGAAGACGAGAAGGCGCAAGTGTTTTTGGATGAACTGACCAAAGTCACCCCGCCCTCTGGTATGCACTTTGCAACCACAAAGAGCAAGGTCATGCTAGTGGAAATGCAGTCACAAAACACGTCAGTTACAATTCAGGGAGAGGTACTGGAAGTTGGGGAGCGCTTTACATACTTTGGAAGTCGTGTTAGTTCCGACAGGTAAATGCATGAATCTGCAAGACTCGAGTGGCGTTTGCTAATCTGAGACACTTATGACTGCAAAGTGGTTCCTGAATCCCAAGGGAATCGTGGATCAGACTGCAGAACGGGCTGTTTTGTTATTTGGCTGAGACAGCCTGTTTGAGCAGCGAAACTAAGACGTCTTCGACAACCGTGGTCCCAGGACCATAGTTCGCGTTGGTTGGTATCAGTGAATCCGTAACGAGGCAGTTAGAAAGCGAGTTTCCGGTTGTGCAACGGGAACTGCAATGTGTTGCGTGAGCTGAGTCATCGTTTGCCGAAGAGTGCTGTTTTCCGTGCCCAGTTCAGATTGGCGGATGCAGGGGTGTGGTCAACCATTGAGCTGGCAGAGGGGCATGAGAGAGATTACTGGACGTTTGGGTGTACTCGCCTTCCAGGATGGGGACCGCGTGGTACCCGTCGCGACTGGTGGGAGACGCTGCTAATCGATGTCAGTAGTATTCTTGTTGTTCCTTCCAATCCCGATTGCCTGAACGAGTGTCTCGAGGTGTAGGCGCCTCGGAATGATTGTTGTAGAGTGAAAGTAGGCCCCTTCCGCGTCCACCTTTATTCTTTTTTCATATCAAGGCTTTCAAATGAGTCAAGGTTGTCGAAGCAGCGAACTGGAAACTGATCTCATGCTGTCGACGATGATGAACTGAATTTGCCAGGTCATGGAAAGGGCGAACGAACCAAGACATTTCACAGTCGAAATACCGTGACTACTAAATAGAGACATTCACAGGTACGTTCACCATTTGTGATATCTATAGCAGATTTGAAATTTCAAGAAATAAAAGCAGCCAATGCGGCTGAGAATGCAGGAAAGCGGATCGAGTTAAGTCATAAAACCACCTAAATGGCCTCTCATAGGTGAGTACACCAGGCACAATATTTGAGAGCTAAAGTACAGTAAAGACCAGTGTCTAGATTGCTGCACGGAATATTTTCAACAGTACGGTTGGTCTTCTGCTCCTATGCCTATGTCTTTTATTGGGTCCGCTCATTTTAAGCCGTGGTCCTTAAGTTTAGATTCTCCCAGTTCCCGAAGTATTAATATGAATTTGCCTTGGGGCGCCATCAGGCCGCTGGACCAGATAAGCCTCTTTCAGCGTCGTTCAGAGATGGAGAAGAATATTTATGTCCCACCTTGACTAGACTGTTCATGCATATTTTGGAGCAATCGTTGGTGGTACCTGTGTTCGAAAAACGGTACCCGAGAGGTCTGATTCAATCACAGGGATATAAGCCTCACGCTTGTCTCAGCATAGACACTGGCTCCCCTGATATTTTAAAACCTATTTTCGGCATGTGAGACGCGGGTCCAAGACCAGGATTTCGACCTGGCATGAGCCATACCCTTACATTATGTCACGTATCTCGGCAGCACCGCTCATCAACAAAAGCAGTTTACCCCTGATTTAAATGAGCCCTCAACTCCGTGGATTGATTAGCTGTTCTAGATATTCCTCACCAAGAAAGGTGACCCTTGAAGTTCGCAAACGTTCTCCGTGCCCTACACTTCCACACATTCGGTCGGGTTGGAGTGTACAACAAACTGTCTAAGAGCAACAAGCGGAATTCGTCAGAGCTGTTCCTTCTCTTTTGAGTTCAGCTTCGCGATCATGGAGTGCGCACCCCAAAGAAGGATGAATCTAAGTATCGAAGGCACGTCTGATGACAGCTTAATAGACTTTGACTATGTACACTGCGTCGTTTCGTTGTTTAACGGTTAGCTGTCCATGCAGTGATTTGAACAGTATATCAGAGGTAGTCCTATGTTTCGGCACACATTCCGCACTTCCAAGAAGAAACGTCTTATTTCAGAACCTCCCCCATCGTCTTACCCCTTCTAGAACTTCTAAATCAAAATTTCACTCTGACGATGGGTTCACGTATCTTGGTGGCTGCATTAACTGTGACTTTGCCACAACAGACGAGGTAAATGCGCAGATAACGAAGGCATGAGCAGCGTTCGCCAGCTCGTGCCATTTGTGGATTTAAAAGCGAATTTCGTTGAAGCGAAAAAAACGTGTATATAAGATAGCTACAAGAGTTGTCTCACTTTATGGTTACGGGACTTGTCCCTTCGGCGGTTGTTGGGCTATATAATTTGCGTGCCAGAGGGCCTGTTCCCTCGAAATGCCTTTTTCACCCATTCAAGTACACGGTGGAAACAACTCGGAGTTGGTCAGTCCATGGTTTGTCAACGGGCATGAAGGCCCTTACCAGTCAACTAGGTCGCGTTGGCTGCTATCATCCCACCTGATGGGGGATGAGACGCGCCAATAGTAAGTGATGTGGCCTTGGTCATCATACATCAGTGTTGCCACCTTCAACGAGCGACCCTCTCACGTGATCGTCACTCTTCTATTATCCTTAGATCTGGTGGACGAAACTGTGACAGCTGTAACCATCGTAACACGATGCAAGATTTGTGGCTGAACTGTACCGGACGGATGACCGCCAAAAACAATAATGTCAACAATACCAAGCCTACTTTCTCCTGATATAACTTCGATAATTATACTTGCGACCTCTTCGAGTGTGCACTCCATAGAGATAGTGACACAAGTGAACAACGGGGGGAACCCTTACGAACCGCATTTATGAGGAACTTTTCGGATAGCTAGCTGTGCACCCTAACGCAACCGAAGGGCAATCCAAAGGGTTCGAAACGCTAGACGAAAGGAAAGATAATCCAGCGATGGATTTTAACTACGAAACCCTCACTCGATGGTTTGAGCCCTCAATTCTAAATAATCTCACCTCACATAGGTTCTCTATGGGCTCAACTAGGTACTGACCCATGAGCTGCATCGGTCTCAAGCACAAACGTTTTGCTATTCACGGGCACACACAGAGAACAGTGATTATCAAAAGGCAGCTGCTCGATTTCCGGCCTCTGTCGTATTGTTATGGAGTGGTTTGTGTTCCTTTGCTGTTTCCTTCTCACAATCCTTGACCATCGTTCCGACCATTCAACCATACTGCACTGGCGAATTGATTAGTTGCCAGCGATCTTATCCACTTGTGCACAACGTACTTTCCTTTTCGCACCTAGTTTTGCTCAATCCTAGGTGAATATGTTGGCTGAAGTCCTAGTCATATGCCATCCAACTACAACTGAGGTCATACAGGACTCACTTCTGTCATTAAAGATGACACCTCTAAAATATCAGTTTTGTCCGGCCCTTTCAAGTAGTCCTTCCGAATGAAAAAAACCGCCAAAAACAATAATGTCAACAATACCAAGCCTACTTTCTCCTGATATAACTTCGATAATTATACTTGCGACCTCTTCGAGTGTGCACTCCATAGAGATAGTGACACAAGTGAACAACGGGGGGAACCCTTACGAACCGCATTTATGAGGAACTTTTCGGATAGCTAGCTGTGCACCCTAACGCAACCGAAGGGCAATCCAAAGGGTTCGAAACGCTAGACGAAAGGAAAGATAATCCAGCGATGGATTTTAACTACGAAACCCTCACTCGATGGTTTGAGCCCTCAATTCTAAATAATCTCACCTCACATAGGTTCTCTATGGGCTCAACTAGGTACTGACCCATGAGCTGCATCGGTCTCAAGCACAAACGTTTTGCTATTCACGGGCACACACAGAGAACAGTGATTATCAAAAGGCAGCTGCTCGATTTCCGGCCTCTGTCGTATTGTTATGGAGTGGTTTGTGTTCCTTTGCTGTTTCCTTCTCACAATCCTTGACCATCGTTCCGACCATTCAACCATACTGCACTGGCGAATTGATTAGTTGCCAGCGATCTTATCCACTTGTGCACAACGTACTTTCCTTTTCGCACCTAGTTTTGCTCAATCCTAGGTGAATATGTTGGCTGAAGTCCTAGTCATATGCCATCCAACTACAACTGAGGTCATACAGGACTCACTTCTGTCATTAAAGATGACACCTCTAAAATATCAGTTTTGTCCGGCCCTTTCAAGTAGTCCTTCCGGAATGAAAAAAAAACGATTATTTAGCGGTCGAATCCACCTTAACCGATTTATGTACCGAAATTTTGGGAAGAAACGCACGCTAACAGAACAGTATGGCCGAGTGGATCTGTTAACTCTGTTCTGACAGGCAGCATATTAGAATAGGAAATAAAGGTATGCCGAAAGTAGATCGCCTATGGACTGAAAAACTGTTCAAATAATTCTTCGAAGACGTGAACGAGTATAGCCATAGCCAAGGCCGTTAAAATGAGGCTGTCCCTAAAGTTTTGCTTACATGTCCAAGTCGGATTTTCCAACGGCAAGCAGCGTCTTCAAGGAAAGATCTGTTCAGATGACGTTTGGGTGTTAAGGAATGCAGCATTAGCGAGTTAAAAATAGGTCATCCACTCATATACATCTCTCGAAACATAACTGGTGCACAAACATGAGTTCTGAGTTACTGCCACACCGTGTGAAACAAGAAGAGTCGCGCCGAAATGCGAGCTGCTGTTGCTAAGTACATAAGGCACACGACTAAATCGACAGAAGTAGATGCTCTTAGAATGTTAGAGTGTTACAACTCTATAACAGCTTCAAAATAAGCTTAGCCATACCTGGAAAGTGGGTATGATTCTTTTTCGATGCTGACTTATGCGTAACTTTTGTATTTTCACGGTCCACCTTCACTACCGGCTCGGAAGGGTTGAGAAAATGGCTGGCAGCATCGAATCGCGTAGACATGTCGAACTCGTCTACCGGTTGTTGCAGTAACCCCTAACATGGCTCAATCAACACAACAAAGCCAAGTTACCTTTGCTTTTTCTCCTTTCTTGGTTGGCACCACGTTCTGTAGAGATAAGAAGAGATGTTATATTGCAAACTACCTCATCTTCTGGGTTGGGATCCGTGGCACTCTCATCAGAAAGTTTCTACAAATGGTTTCACTGGTAATCAGGCAAAGCGTTTAGGCACCTTAATTAATTTGGAGGCGTGTTTCGATTTACGTGCTTGTTTGGTTAGTTTTCTGGACTCCGAAATGGCCTGACGGATCTGTTTCTCTTTTTGTGCTCGCTGCTTCTTCTGTTCAGTGAAGGAATATGAAATAGGAAAATCATCTGAATCCATAGTTGACCTGAAACATGCAATTAAGTTAGTACAGAAAGGTCATAAAATCCCAGCTGAAGATATGCAAAGGAACAAGATCGAAAATTCGGAGAATTTTATGTGGTGGCACACAAGGCTCCTAGCAGACGACTGGAGTTGTGCAGCCCTGTTTAGGTTGGAAATGGGTGTTAAAAGGACTCTTCACCAAAAACAAGCCAGTTAGCATGTCCAGCGTCAACTACCAGCCAGCACATCAAGGCAACTCCTTCGAATATCTAAACTCGATTGTCGTTCTAAACGGTTAAGCACGGCGAATAGTGGGCTCGTATCTCCGATGCCAGGAAGGCCTCCATGCAGCTCCACACCGCTCTATGTGCGCATTCGGAAGTTGGCTTCCAAACGAAGCTTCAGATGTACATTACAACCGTCTGACCCTTTATGACAGCTGTGAGGCACACTACCCGCAGGCTTAAAGTATTTAGTAATTGGTTCTCATATGGAAAGGACATTGGGACGATAAAATAGCGGAAGACTGTCGTAAAATACCCCCACAATAGTCTATGCCTTTCCGAGCTGATTTATTGGCATCGACCGCAATGGTTCTGACGTGTTCTCCAAAAACCAAATTCCGAAATGTCTCAGCACCAGTGGTTCGCTAATAATGGCCCTTGACGCTTAACAGTGACACTGAACTATTGGGTGTCTGTGACCATGAATATCATGTAGTGGAACACTAGCCGGATGGCACTGGGCTCGGACTCTGATGCCGGTCGTGTTTCGTGGGTGGCAGTAATACGGTTAGAGCTAACCCGTTATTCTTCGGAGGAATGCCTAATCAATAGTGTGTGACCTCGCTGTTTGGGGTGAAGAGGGTCAGCGAGAGACCAGTGATGCCACGAAATTCTTCCATACATAAGCAGCAGTTGATTGGTGCAGGTCTCACACCCGATACTTGTCTTATCAGCTGACATAGGTCCGGAAGTGTAACGCCGCCCTCAGTGATAATGTCCAGGTTATGAAAGATCTGCCATTGCGACAGCGCCGGGCCTAACAGGTTCGTAACAGCAGGCGGTCGGGCGGTCGGACGGTCCGATATCCACTCTACGAGGGCATGTCCTTACTATTGAGGTCGGTGCTGCTAAATCACAAGGACATAGAACATTGTGTGAATATTGTGGTCATATGATACACATTGTCGTCCAAGAATCCGATTGCACGACGCTTGTCAGGTTGAGGCGCAACACATCACACAAAAATGTTAGCACATGTTGGGCGAATCAATTATTAGCTGATATCCGATACAGATATGCTTTTCAACAGTTATTGCCCCTTCATCTTTGTAAATGGTCTGCGAAGTCGTTGGGGCCACCGCCCTTTAGGATGGCAAGCTTTGATGACTACTGATGCAGGTTCCAAGAAATCCCACTTTGTCGGTTGAAAATGGCTTGCCCGCCAGTCATCCAAACAACCGATTACCATTGGCAAAATACATTCATTTGCACACTAATCCAGTTCACACGGTAGATTCACATGAATCTCAACGGAATCTCTCGTCAGTAGTGTTCTTGTGAGTAGTTGCCTTCGAGAACTGAATATCGTCTTCACTACTACATGACAACAGTTTATGACTTGACTTTTTGTTGTTTGTAATATACGGTGGTTCTCTCCTTCCAAGATAGACCGTCCCTCTAACAAATCCATTTCACTGTTGTCACGCTGGATGCGTCTTGAAATTGATACATTTTGAGACCATCCACCAACTCCCAACAGGGAACACAAAGGATGTTTCCAAGGAGAGGTGTTCCTTCCAAACAAAGGTCGGGATACAACGCTCGTGTTTCGGATATTCACAGGGTAAGGCATAAAGTAGGCATATGATTACTTGCATCGCACACATTCAAATATTTTAAAGGTTTCTAATTATGGCTTTCAGCTAAATACCGCGGAACGATCGAACTTTGTTAGTATTCTCTAATCGACCCATGTCAACGACGATAAAGTAGCAGTCAGCATGATCGCAAAAACAATTAACGACTGTTTACCATTCCCGTCCTTTATTTTCTGTGGCACTTTGCCTCTAGCGCAGAGAACAACCTCACACCAGTTGGTATTATTACTTATGTTGAACTATGTCTAAACACCACTTGTTTCACAATTCAAACCGTGTCTTATAGACGGTTTGACGCTGTCGTTATCAGCCCTTCAGTATCACCCATAGTTCACCCATGGCTTATCTTTTATAGCACAAAAGCTTTAGGTGTCCTTGCCCATCTACCACGCACCTGGCTAAGATATGCTGACTACATATTTGCTAATATGTCAGCCGCACAACAACAAGCCTTCCTAAATTGTTTGGACGAACAATCCAGTTGTAAATAATTCACTACGGAAACTGAGATTGGAGAAGGAACTAAAGTTTCCTGGACTGCAACCATGGACTTTACATTGGAATTCACAAGATACCCGTAAATTCAGAGATATACCTGTATTACGAGTCCTCACACCCACAATACGTCAAACGTGCGGTCATCGGTTACTTGGTAGATCGCGTCAAGGAACTATGGTAGGAAGACTCAATACGAGAAGATGAACTGAAACAACTCGGTGAGAAATCACAGTAAAATAACTACCACATTAAACTCATCATAAGACAAACGGGAAGAGTGCTACCTGAAACGGAGAGACCCGGTGGTCATCGTGGGAATACCCTGTAAAGATGACACCTCTGACGCCATCCAGAAGATACTCTGGGACAGGACATCAGAACACTTCCGAACTGATGACACCTTAGGACACCTCGTAAGGATTCTATCGAACCGAAACGCCTGACGAACATCGTCTACAAGTTCCATGGGGGATGTCCAGTCAAATTCATAGGACTGATAGTCGAAAAACTTAAGGTGCGAATCACAGAGAAAAAACGGTGTGCGCGTCCCCCCCCCCCACTAAATTCAAATGAGTTTAAAAAGAAAACTTGGTGACTCATCCAGTTCACTGTACGCATCTGAGTCAAGTTATCAGACCAACTGTGGAGCCAGCATCCCGTCTATCCGGCTTGGACATACTGCATCTTAGTGGACCCACTGTCCTGGCGTCAAACAGGAACCTCAACAATGAACCTCACAACCAACACAACGGGAACACATCCCATCCAAAGTGCACACAAAAGCAAGGGCATTCTTGGAATTCCGGATGGCTCACTTCGGTTGTCCGGTCGTGGCAACTACGGAAAATGACTCGCAATTTGAATCTGATTTTGACAACCTACGGGATAACCTAGGTTACAAGCAAATTCGCGCGCCTGCCTGCCACCCGGCAACCAGGGATTCGTCAAACGCTTTCACGGATAGCCCAAGGAGGCACTCCATTGATGTAGTAATTCTTCGTGGCTGGAGGTTTCGCCGTTGGCTTTAACAGGCCTTCGGGACAATAAAGCCTGACCTTAACATTCCCCCAACGGAGTTAATGTACGGATGCTGCCTTCGCCTACGGGTGGGCAAGCACTGTCTAGATCTACCAGTCATCTTGGTTTGCCAATTACGCTGATCCCTTGCGTGGACAAATGCGGAAGTTCAAACCCGTACATTAAACAGAACAGCCCTCGATACATCCATGACAACCTTCACATCGGCTTCCCCGTATCTGTGTGGACAGGCAACGTTAGACTACCAGTCCAGAGCCCGAAAATATGGCCACATCGCACCATCAGGCGCCTTCAAAAAGGCCTTTGTCATTAGCAAAAACGGTGAGAGTGGTGCTGTCACAATCAAAAGGCTCAGATAAGCACTCTTGGAAGTGTCCAACCCATGCAATTTCCCAATTGTCCCAAATGATGAATCGCATGGGCCATCATACCCACAATCAAACATCCACCGGGCCTACGATCTCTGAACCGGTAAAACACAAGAAAATACCGATACGACCATGAAGTTCGACAAATTGCACATTCCGCCGACAATGCTAGTATTACTTCAGTTTGGTCGGTACTGTTCCCCCCTGTGTCAGTCAGAATCATTATCAGCCACCATTTTCCTTCTCCTCTTAGGTTATATACCACCCGCGGCCTTGGTGATCCTATTTCCCGATTTTCTAGATACCCCCATCCCGATGTTTCGTCCCGACATGTTGTAGCAAGCTCATATCTTCGTATGTGCGAAAACCAAATTGTCAGACATTCACTTTAGTACTCGTTTACCTACAGTAAAGGTGCTGTATTCCACCCCAGGTCACGGAATGCTGAGGAGATGGTCGCCATTGATTCTGAAACGCGCGTCGAAGTGCTCTCTTTTTTTCTGGAGTAGCGTCGCCTCTGAAGGGACCCAATACTCATTTATGCCTTGTTTAAACAAGATCTGGGCAACAAGTCTTTCAATAATGACTCGCAAAACACAGCGAGGACACGGTGAGGTTTTCAAGCTCAGAGCGCAAACGTTTATTCGGTGAGAGTTGGTGGATGGAATACACCCCCCTCCGGCGGATATTTACACTGCATCTAGATCCCAGTTCAAGGCACCTGTAGATGTGTTTGAGTCCTCACAATGATAAGCTTACTGTCCAGCGCTGAGAACTCAAGAGCATTGCTACGCCCTTTTTTCCGATCGCACCTTTCAGGTGGACAGAAGCCGCTAGGCGATGGAACGAACTTAATCCGGAGAGGTTGGGTGAAAACCTCGATTCTGTGTATGAATCCGCGAAGATGCACATACCATCATACTGCTAACATGTTCAATGCTAATCTACTCT